TTGTCTCTTATAACTACTCTGACATCGCGCATTGATATTTCTGATGTTAGATGTGCAGCACTTGTTCGTATTTTAATTTCATTGCAACTTGTTTGCTCTGATATTCAGAATATTTTAGAAAACTTGTAGTCTTGCCAAGTCGGGTCAGTGCTTCAGGTTGGTCACGTGACGCTATAAATTATGATGAAAATGGGGTTCCATTTTTGTCGTCGTTTTGGAGATGCACTAATTCCCCCACACAAAATGGGTAAAATTGTAGGAGACATACCTTATGATATATGATTTGAAAGTTTATGATCTTATCTTTCTGCAGGATGTAATTGTTTGAAAATATTTTGCGTTTCCTGCGATACATAATCACAGTAACCTACTGCACTTGAAAAAATCGATTTTGCGGAATTTTACACCGACTTCAGGGGAAAATGAACACTTTGCCAACGAGTTGGGACCCAAACGCAACATGTGTTTCATATCAACACAAAGCACACTTGTTTACCTTTTAGAATATATATAAAACGCTGGTGATATCAACATTGTAGCAATTTTGCTTAAATTGAAACACCCTAGTGTCACACGCTTCAAAAATGCGAGTGGTTGGCATCGAGTTCACCTCGCGCTAAACAAAATGGACAAAGCTGAATTTTAAATATATAAATACTGCCAGAGACCCAGTTTAACCAGCTTTCATGATTTTGTTTTTAAAACTTTGTACAATTTAAACTTCTTATAGAGATCTTCAAATAGAAAATTTTGGACACCTGAAATGGGGCACCATTTCAGGGCTCGACATTAGCGCCTGTCCGCCTGTCCGGGACAGGTAAAAAATCAGTTCGGACAGGTGAAGTTGCAGGGTTGGCTGTCCGACGGACAGGTAATGTTTTGTGAGAAATTTGGAGCAAAAGTCCTTAAAAAAATATATTTTGTTGCATACTAACGTCTTTTATTCCCTTCCTAGACAGCATTGAAAAGAGTGACCTACTTTTGGCACAAAACACATGCAGTCGCAAAACGAAGTCTGAGTAAACTTACCGCCAAATTATGAAAGAGAACACCCTCCAGAACTTCATCAGACAAAATTTATTCACATATCAGGTTCTTTACTTTATATTTATTTAGTTCAAAATCTACGTGCTCTAGTAATAAAGACCGTTCAAAAAACAGAAACTACACAAGTACTGTGCTGCCTGGGTACAAAGCCAGATTGAACTGGATGAACTGGCTATATCTAGTTTGTTGTCAAGGCGACATACTGCCTGTCAATCAAATACGTTGTATGCTATCTACTCACTATAGAAAGTGAAATCTTTTGGACTGAAGATCTTGTTGAAATGTTGTTTATTTGCCAAAATATAACCTGAAATTTTGTATGATGTTTTCTTTAATGATTCTAGTATCACCTTTGTTATTTACAGTTAAAAAATAGTGCTCAGCTGGAATATGATAAATTAACAATACTGTCATATACCAGTATGATATTGATGTAAAGAAGAAATTAGTAATAACAAATATGAGAATTTAAATAAAAAGAAGGGGAACATTTTATACTGATTTTATTTAATTCATATATTTAAAAAAATCAAACACATGATAACCCAAAAAAGAAGTTAAATTGTTAACACAGATATAAGTATTATAAAATGAATATTATTTAACTTTTCATTGAACTATATTCAAATATTATTAATTTTGAATATTTTAATAAAATTAATTTAACAGTACCCCCTCCCCACTTCCCGCTCAGGGTATTTTTTT